AATAATGTCTTCCCACATTTCATTAAATTATAATGACATAATTTCATATTATATATATGATTGGCTTTTAAAGATTAAATCTTTCATTAACATTTGCTAATCCTAATGGAGACAACATAACATAAAGTATATGATTCATTTGAGATATCAAAGATAATAGTATTACATTTAAAGGCATTGTTAATTTGAAAGTAAGTAAACTGAAAAAACAGAGATTATAGCTACAGGATGAAAAAAAATGATAACATCTATAGTAAAACAGACCAATACAGTCAAAGCTCTCGCCTTTCAATCTGTATTACACCTTATTTTTCACATTTGTTAAGAAAATTGTACAATCTATGCACTAATAATTCATTTGTATTAAATTCTATATTCTTAAAATGTACACTTTTAAAAAGTGTTAACATATGACCAATTATCAAGTTAAACAGTGTTTTTGATATAAAACCACAAGAAAAACAGTCAATAGTAAAACAGTGTGGACTCTCACAATGGTGAGGTGGCATGTGGATCCACTTTGCTGACACACTTGTGAATTATTCAGAACAGGTTGTAGTATGATGTGGAGAACAAATATCAGTGTAACTTTACTATCCAAACAGTAAGGCTGGTAATTGGGTATTGATTATCAATGGTAGCATTCTCGGTGGTCTAGTATGGGTGAAATGGGTCTGACATGTGGCATGTGGTATCAACATCGTCTTGGAACAACTGCTGGTTACATACCGAAAATTCTTCTTGGAACTTCACATTGTCATTAGCACAGAGATCCTCAACGTGTTGAAGGAATGATTTCTTGTTAACAGGTCTACAAACAAATAGCAGAAACAAATTGGATCAGCTGTCTTGAGACCAAGGTGCACTCTTAATTCTGTTTTTTAGACAAAGTTAATACTTTTCCATATCATTCCAAAGATTATCTAGCTTTGTTAAAGACATCTTTAAAACAACAGTATTAAAGTTTAAGTATTATTTCCTATTTCAAAGTTCTAAAATATAGCAAAATGAAGTTACACAGAATACTGCTGAATTTTAAACCTGAGTTTTCGGGATAGTCAATTCAAAATAAAGGAGTCAGGGTATGTAACAGTGAACTGCCTTCACTAATATTCAAAAATAGCAACATACTCGCACATGTGAGGGGATTCAAATGAGAAAGGGAAGATTGCTAAATCTTTTAACAGTTCAGAAAAACTGAAAAATCACACACAATTACTATTGTTGTACACTCTCATGTATTGATAGGAATCTGATTGAAACAAATGGGTTCTTTGTTCTGAAGGTCAAGAAACTTATCAGTGCCTGAATACTTCAGTAGAAATAATGGTGGGTGAAATTATGAAATGTAACACTTTATCTTTTAAGATGAGAGATCTGTTTCCACTGCTCCAAAATCCATCCTATGTTTGGTGTTTAACATGGAGAGTAGAAGAAGAAAAATAAAGCAGTGACCTCACTGTTTAATTATGATATGCTTCCAGAACCCCAAGGAGTTTAAACATCCCTGTATTCCTTCCCAAGCTAAAACACAGACACAGAGGTTTCACCCCAGAGAGACAGAGGGCCTTTCTCCAGTTACCATGCAATTAGTCACACCCTTATGATTTATGTTGAGCTTGGTTGCAGACCCTAGTAATGGACTCCCAAAACCGTCACACTTTCCAACTTAAACAGCCAAACAAAAATAACGTACAAAGAAAGCACACATGTAAAATCTTTAGCCAACTTACTTGAGTGACTTTCTATAACTGAGAAGCCTGAAAACAAAGGTCATAGAAAAGCATAGTGAAATAAAAGCATTGTCATAAATAGGCATTAGCATTTTTAACATGTACAGTATTTAAAACTGTAAAGCAAGTTAAATTCAAGTTAGTGCACTATTCTGAATTCACCTCATAGCCTGAAACTACACAGAGAGAGCAGGATGAATACAAGAGGAACATCCTCTTACCTCACACCATTAATTTCACTATCAAGTTCAATGGTATTTTAACATTTTACAGATACTCTTAAGATAGTGAATTGATCATCTTAGGTGACTAGACGACAGCATACTGATAGTTAATGAGAGTTAAAAGTACTTTGTATACAGTACAGGAAGGGACCCCACTTCATTCACCACTGAAGTGGTACTACCTGGGTGATGTAAAACAGCCCCACTATAAAACAGATCAAGTGGATAGGTTAAGAGTAAGTTACCATTTAAATTAAGTGTGAAGTTTAGGAAGGCTAGATTGCACAACCTCAAACCCCTTTTATCAGAACCTGTGTTTAAACTCCTAATTTTTCAAAAGGTGCAATGGCATCATTAGTATTCAATCAAGCATTCAGTACCATGAATTTACATCTCTGCAGAAGGATGATACCTTGTACAGTACAATGTTCCCATTTCCTATACTGGAACATTGGTTTGGAAATTCTGCCTCAGAGGGAAAAGCACTGCCTACTGTTCCTCCAATTCCACTTGAAGTAGCAAGTGGGTTTTCCTTTGATTTCTGCGATCCCAGTACTGACCAGGGACAGCCTTGCTTAGCTTCTGAGATCTTATGTGTTCTGGCTACAAAGTGCCAATGCTGCTGCCCAAGGGGAATGTATTCTGTTGACAGTCCTACAGTCATGGGGGAACTGCTAGGGGCAATTTGAATTTGGATGGCAACATAAAATGCACTGCTCTCAAACACATAATGCCCTAGACAGATATAGTAATGTCACCAATCAAAATGCTAATATTAAGCAAATATCTGAATACCTTACTATCGAGATCAGATCTGATTATCTAGATCAGATTCAAAGCAAAGGATTATTTGCAGTGAAATGCAATTTTGGAACTATGCATTTCATAGGGTTTCAGCACTAGGGCCCTTTAACATTTTTTGTTAAGTGACTATACTGAAGGCAAAAAGTACTTTAGTGTCTTGAATTTTTAAAGTTGGCCTTTCAAGAAGGCTTTTTCTCAACTCAATTCTCAAGTTAAACATCTGCTGACATCTGATAATAAAGATTCAATGTGACGTGGAAATGAAATATTATAATTTTTTTGCTTGACACTCCAGATATAGGTTTATGTAATGTTTATGTAAAGTTGGCTGATGTAAAATTGCTGTCAATACTAAGGACTAACATTCACTAACATTACAACAGTAAACAAGAGGGTGATTATTATTATTAATAATAATAATAATAATTAATCATATAATATTAATAATATTATTAATAATAATAATATAACGTATGTGTTTTCCTTCTTTATAGCACACAGCTCAGGCTTTTTTGACTATATACATAGCCCTTTGCATTCATATCACAACTGGATCCATAATTTATATTTTAAAGAACATCTAACAGTCTTCTAAACAAAAGCATGTAGCACTATTTTTTAGAAGTAGCTGGCATTCTGAAATGTGTTCTCTAAAAAGTTAAAATGTGTCTCACTGATTTCAAAATGCCTCTTCTGCATCATAAAAAAATTAAGGCAAGGACCTGCACTGAGTCGACTTTTGCTTACTACAGAATGATTAAAATACTTTGTGCTTTGGTTTATTCCTATAATATCATTCATTTTGAACTGGTAACTGTAATAATTACTGATAATGTCATTTGGACAGGAATTTGTTTATCTTCTAACATTTTTGGAGGGGTAAAAATAGCAAGTCATGTATCAAAATCACATTGAATAAAGTACAAAAGTGAAAAAAATCTAAACTTTTTATTGTAGTGAAGTTGTTGGGATCATTTGTTTTACTTAAACATCTTTAGGCACATGTGGGTAAGTTCATGGTCAATTTTTTTTCAGAATCTTTTTATTGATAGCCAGCTGGAGATGACTCATACTTACTAATTACAAATAAAAAGTCATTCAACATGACTGGCTTGGTTCTTTAAGGACACAGTTATACATCTTTTAAAAATAGAGATTTTTTTTGTAGAGTCTTCCATGCACATATAATTTTTTATCTGCATTTTCCTTCCTCTTGGAAGGGAACTTTGATATAATAATATCAAAATGACATACCCAAACTGACTAATCAATATTTAACCTAGCATTATAAAAACTATCAAAGAAAAATATAGTGTATCATATTATATCGTATATATTTAAAATTAATGTAATTTAAATAAAAAATGAGTTATAGGATTAAAGTTCAATGAAAAGGAAAAATGCAGACAATGGAAGGTAATTTTGTTTTTTTTTCAGATGTATATACAAGGGTGTTTAAATAAGCAAAGACACTAGGATTCTCAATGCATTACAGTATTTATGTATTCCAGAAATCATTTGAGGTATTAGCACATTTGACCTTGAGTCATTATCTCCTGTATAGATTACTAAATTGATTTCTTTAGGATTTGGATTTAAAGAAGCCAAATAGCAATCTCACTTAAATTAAAGTAAACTAAAAATGTTTTACAAAAGTAAAAAATGTCTTTACATGGCAAAACACCTCTGCAGATACAGACACAGATTTGGAAATTAAAAAGTCACATAAAAAGAACTTTATTCAAATTTTCCAAATAAATCCATGTTACCAATCAAATTGCATATATAAAAGAGATATATTTATAAGAATTGATCTGATGAATATATAATGACAATTTCTAGTATTTCAGAAGCTACTGTAAGTAGTGACTCCTTTATTTCCAACAAGCTGTAAATCAAAACATTCATCTAAAGATTGCTACTTTTGGTTAATTATGTCAATCCTTAAATCACTAGATCAACACACAGTAACACACAAACAAATCAATGGCAGGCACTATTTTGGAAACTTACTGGATGACAAATATTTCCTTCCGTCTAAAGAAAAACGAAGAATACCTGGAAATATAAACCCAGCAATTGGTTAGTAAGCAGTGAAAGCAGTGCAGTGCTTTGTTTCATTGACAGCACAGTTTTGAAAATCCAAACTCAACAAAAAAAGAGGTAAAGCACAAATTGATTAATAGAGAAAACAGAAAAAGTGTCAAATGTGTCAAAGTAAGGTGCAAGACAGACAAGATTGCATGATGTTATTTTATAGTCTTGGTTGAGTTTTCCTTCAATGTGAATAATAATTACAGTAGTGAAAGTAAAAAGTGCTGCATGCACAGTTAAAACAGAAAAGCTACTGTATATAAACTTTGTAGTTAAATGTGCCAAATTATTGCTAAAATTCTTCTTTTTATAATCAGGTTTGTTATCCTGTTTTAATTTGATGGGATCCAAACTGATAAACTGATAAGATTTGTCATATTTTTTTTAAAATCATGCTTAGTCTTCAGATCTTATGTAAAGTCTCACATTATGCAGTAGCAAAAGCATTTAAAACTTAAGAATAACCTCTGTGACACATTTCAAATCCAGAGCCTTGCATAAGTGATCATAAATCATACATCTGCAAAGGTTCCAGCTGCCATTCGAGCTTTCAGTCATACAGTAGCACTATTAAACAGGACTTGATATTTACAACTTACACAATCTACTTCAAATGAGACAGCTTGAAGTTTTGAAAAGATTAGATGTTCAAAGAAAATTAGAAAATTCTCAATTGTACAATTGTACAAATAATCAAGTCCTTTGCTAAAGCAACTCTATATGTTTATTTGCAAAAGATTCATTTGAAAGTTAAAAAAAGTCATGTGTGCAATCATGACTTCAGAATAAACTTCAAAATTATGTGTCACATAATATGACACACCAATCATGAATTCCAAGGAGCTTTTGAAATAAGTCATCATAACGTACAATGAAGTCCATCATTAAGAAATGGAATGTGCATCTTTCTACCCAGACATGTGAGAGGCTGCAATTCCAAATTGAGCCAGAAAGAATAGGCAGTACTTTTACCATCCCAATGTGCAATGCTTGTAGAGATATAAATTGAACCACTGCAGTAGATGCTGCAAGATCTTTATACCAACTGTACATTTTGAGGAATGAATATGTCTATAATTTTGAGGAAATATGTCTATAATCAATGAATATCAATTTGTTTATATATATTTTCTTCATTTTTTCATGTTTTGCTGACATTCCACCTCCTTCAGATATAATACTGCTCAGTTTTATCACTGCAATCTTGGAAAACATAAACAGTATGTACATAAAATACATACAGTACATAAAACACTGCAGCTCTGTGTTCATGGTGTTTTTGGTACAGAGCAAACTTTAACTCCTAATTAAAACAACGTTGGACAGTAGACACTTGAATATTATTTTTGAAAAAAATCTACATAAGGATAACGTTCGCTACTTAAGGAGGAATTTAAGGGTCATACTGCACAATTTATATGAAAACTTTAATTTGTATGAATGGAATATACAATATAATCATAGGATAGATATTTGAATTGTATTCCTGTCCAAAAAATAAATAGGAACTAAAGCTCATACACTGCACAGAGATTTCTGAAAGATTTCAGCAAATGAGGGATATTTGTTTCAAATTCCATGAGTAACACCATTTAATGACAATGAACATGTACTACCAAGGCCTGCTGCCAGTGGGCTGACCTCAGTCAGTTGTTAACACATGACACTCTCTGAACAACATGTGAGCACAGGTGGATGTGTGCCACACAAGTTGCAAGGCTGCCAATAAAGCAGCAGATGCCTCCCTGATTTAGCTCCTCTTGTGGTCCCTGATGCCTGTGTGACACATAACGGCAACCTACTGGTTCCACAGACCTGCACAGGCTTGTACACACCACAGTATTCCATGATGCTCACTGACACAAAAACAACCAAGGGAAAACAAAACAACACTGCCCGTTCTTTATCTCCATACCACCCACAGTTTACAACAGCAGGGCACTGAAATTTTAGCACATGGTATTCTCGGTCTTAAACCCCAAATTAATTACCATTCTAAACACTCATTGCCACAATAGTCTATATGTCCCGAGAGAGGGCTTATCATAATGGCATCCATATCACATGGTGCCAGAGAAATAATTCCTCTTTTCAGTCATATGAAAAATTGAACATTGAAGTTCCAAAGGTTTAGTCACAGAATTGTTTTGGTAGAATAATACAAAGTCACTTGCTATGAACATGCCATTTTTTACATAATGGTATCACAATGGGATTTTATTTTCTGGTTTTAGCACAAGAGTGGTCATGGTCCACACAATAGGCTTTGTTTTTAAAAACATAGACTCTAAAATGCATGGGTTTAGTTTACTGTTCCTTGATGCAGTAGGCTACTACAGTAGTCATGACAAGAAAACCTGCAATGACTTTTCTGTCATCCCCATACTTTAGGCCATAAACTGTACTGCAAAAGCAACACAAAAGGAAGAAAACTAGTTACTAATTAGACAAAAATGATCACCTAAGAAATAATAAGAACATTGTAAAGACATACAGTAAAGAGATAAAACATTTTTTGCATGTCAGAGGAAAATCAAATAATCTTTCTAAATAAAGTAACAGGTATTTAACTATACCCTTTTTCTCTTTTAAGGGGTCACTGTCAAAGTAAAACAGATACTGTGTTAAATGTACAGTTTATTTAATAACTATTTGTTTTATGCTTGCCCTGCTGTTCATGAATACCCAGACTTGAATATGATGTTTCTTTTACCTCTCCTTACCTTTCACATTTTTTCCACTTAAAAGATGATTCTATAAAAAGTAAATTTTCTTTCAACTAGAATAATTGATTTGAGGTGGCTTAGCTGATGTTTTCCTTTAAAATGCCCTGTGAAAGTCAGATCAGAAGTTTTATAGCATTCCATACTCATTTAGAAATCCTGAACTGTTGAATTCTATTGCAATGTTCAATACCAATATATTTAAATTTAATGAAGCAGCCTACTAGAAGAGTTGTTGACAGTGGCTGGGCATTACACATACCATTGCCACATTTTTCCATAAATAAGGAAACTGCAGCTTGATTAAATGTATTTTTGATGGACAGCAAAACTATCCTAATGGCAAGTGATCAACCTGTCGGAAAATATCCCATCCAGAGTCACCAGAAAACTTCCTTTTATGCAGCAACCATACTATTCAAACAGCTACCAGGCAAATGTATTTAAAACAAGCCATGACCCTAATACACCAATGGTAAGACTGAACTCAGTTACAGCTAGTCTTAAAACATTACTATATTTTCTCCCAATATCTGTGATTCTATCTTACGATTCTGCAATCACATCTGACACTAAATTAATTTGATCTTGCCAGTGCAACTGGTCCCCATACTTTGACATGGTACTGAAGTCCCATTTCTTTTCTGTCTTTCAAAAACTGTAAAAACAGTATTACTGCTCCAATGCAGTGCAGTAGGAAGCTGTGACTTGAAAACCTCCAAGGTTATTTCTGTTGTCCCTACAATTCAGGCCACTGCAGTTACACACAGTACCGTAACATAAAACACTGAAAATCATTGGTTTTGTTTATAGTTTGAATGAAAAAATACTTCTACATATTTCAACATTGTAATACCTTCTCTATCCTTCTGTATTTCTTTTCAAAGTTTTAATTCTTTTGCAGGTTAAGTGCAAAAAACAGGGGCATGTGGGACTTATGAATAAGCTACATTATTCCCTCTATTACAACTATGGTACACACTACTGTTCTTTTTCTCAAAGGAAGGCTGTGAATAAAAGAGGAAAACCACAATGCAAAGCTCTAGTATTTCAATAATCTTCAGGTTTAATCACTCTAAATGTATCTATTGCATTATTTCTAAACTCTGGTAAGACATTATTTATGGGTACTGACATATACCCCTGTGAATTTCTCCAGACGTTTCTGTGTATATCATAAAATAAACAGCACTTGCCTAGAAAAGACATATGTTATTCAATGGTTTTTTTTACAGAACCCAGTCATGAATTCTACACAACTTGTATAGGAACAACTTGATGCCCATAACACCGTCATTAGGATGCCCACCTCCTATTCATGTGACCACCAAACTCTGAAGCATATCGCAACTTCAAACGGTGATTCCATGACTCATCAGATAAATGTCAAAGTGTTAGTGTTAGTCATAATTATTACAATATTACTTTCCAGCAAATATCACTCTATCACAAGTCTTGTTATCAAAAAGTTGAGTGCCACACAATTATTCTCTTCTATAGAAATCCAGTGTACTGGAGTCAAGTTTCTAAATGAAAAAGTAATATATTGGAGTGGATATGCTACTGTTCCCGATAAAAATGCTAGCTACAGTAGGACAACCATACCCTCATAATTCCGAAGCTCATTATTCCAAATGAAGGATTTTCTCGTACGGTCCTGTGAACTGACTGGAGGAAGGGGGTCAGCTTTGAAAGTGGAGTGCAGCAGCCTGAGTAAATAAACCCCGCTATACAGAACTGGTTAAAAAGGGGGGTAAGATGTCACAGAGGGGTCAGGGCTGGGAAAGTCTGGGCTACTGTTTTACCCTCAGAAAACCTACTCACCGATTTAACTTCTCCTCCTTCATTTTCAGGTCTGCTACAGCTATCAGCTGGTCAAGCTTGAATTTAGTGTCAATTATTTCAGCATCCCGTGGAGAATAAGTTCCTCCTTCTTTCTGCTTTTGCCTGATCCTTTGTTGGAAAAAGAAACAGTAAATACCTGATACTTAATAAAGTACTAAGAATTTTTGATAATTTACCATCCCATTCACAATGATTTTCTTGGAAATAAACAAAACAGATATTTGTTTTTGAGTATGCAAAGCCAAAGTCACTAAACACTTCAATTTCACTTTATGTAGTATAAGTACATTATTTGGTTGAAAGGCTTTAGTTTTTTTTTTAGTTTACTTTTAGAGAAAAAAAAACTCACAGTCCTCTATTTTGCTATATGTCAGTTTGTGTTGAATCACTTCGCTGTGGTGGTCCATTCAGTGACAAGATAAAAGAAATTACTTTAAAGTCAAAAGTAACCCCAAATGTAGGGTTCAATATCTCAGATGGCAATTGACATTAATCTATATCATGCATATCATGCTCAATAACTAGTAAAAATCACATAATATAACCTTGTCATTAAAACAAACATCTGATACATTATACAAATCTGTAATTAGTTTCAAGGACAAAAATGTAAATCATATACATGCACATAATCCTTATGAAATATTGGGCTATAGAAATTGTCAGTATCAAGTATCGGCATTATATCAAGGGAAATATTTGGCTCTGCTGTACAGCTGAGGTTCATGTTACATGTTTAATGACAAAACTCAGCATATCAGCTTACCTTGCAAAAGCATAGATAACAAGCACAAGAAAAGCTGCTAACACAATGGACAAAACCACACCGAGGATTATTTGATCATCTCGATTCAACAAACGGTCAGCTGAAAGGAAAACAAGAAGAACTGTTTTCATCTTGTAGAATGGAAGAAAAACATCTACCAAGGATTTTCAGTCATGCAGTATGTATCAGCTTGGTAATTTAAAGGTTGTGGAGGATCCAAACCTCATTTTCTCAGTGAGCTGAAACTAAAGTTTACATCTAAACACGATTTGCTGTCATTTTTAATGGAACAATATAGAGTGATCAACATTTACACATGATACATACTTTGAAGCCTTTTATGTGAACATAATGCATTTTGTAGAGTTGTTTTATAAACAATTTACAGACAAAGGGTAAAAGAGTGTAGTGCTTTAATATAATATTCTAAAACACAATAAACACAGGCACTAATGCATGTTTATACATATATTTATCAAATCAAACCTTTTCATCTTAGATTTAAAGGGATTTTAAACTACTGTACATCATGGAGGTATAATTATCATTAATACTGCTAATTCTGAGAACCCTGATTTAAAATACACATATTGTTTGTTTACTTTAAATTAATAACTATTTACAAATAGTTAATAAAGAAACACTAAAGACAATAGAACAAATCAAACAAAAGAGAAAAGAACAGGATTAGTCCACTAGTCCCTGTTGGTTAACACTGTGTTCAGGCTGGGTTTCTGTTTAAAAACAAACACAATGACCTTGTGCCAGAAGCAAGTATTCAAAAAGACTAATGCCCTTGAGGCCTGCCCTTCTTCCCTACACAAACATGTTAATGCAAACTGTGCTTCAAGTAAACTGGAGAAGGGCAAGTCTGCTCTTCACATCACAGAAAGTTTACTGCAGCCAAAACACTTAATTGATACGGATTCTCAGAATGAGGGCGCAGAGGGTAAACATAGGCACGTTTAATAGTGAATGATCATGGCTTTTGATCCTGTTCAGCACAAGAAAACTCTATCCACACAGCCTTCTTCTACTTTATTTAATGTACTAATTTAAAAGGGAATGATGTCACACAGACCCTAAGTAATGTAGTAATGTAGTAATACAGTATTTGTTATACTCTTTATATACTGTAATTCCTTACTTCACAAGTTATAAATACTGATGCCTATTTATTACATTTTTTTATTAAAACAGACAAATCTTTTCAGAATAAGTAGCTTGTATTATACTTTACCTTTAGTCACAACAGGATCTGAATAAGAAGAATCTGTGAATTGTCCTTTGGAATTTGTCGCTCTGAATTTAAACCTAAAAATAATTCCAAAATATTTATTTAATTTAGATAATTCTTGAACATTTTTACATAATTTAATTATCGCAATGCACTGAATATCATCATTTTGAGGTTACCAAAAGACAAGTACCTATAATCCAAAGGCGGCTATTCCTACAATCCTGAAAATAAATCTTGCTTAATCTCCTTACAGGCAGAACAGAATACATGCTACACCCAGCACTGCTTAATGGAAGTGATGTTACTCAATTTAGCTAAAAATATAATTTTATTGTGCCATTTTATAGTTTGTAAAGTGTGGCAAGAGAAAAACACTACCATCACTATGAGATTATGATACTAGTTCCATCTATGGTTATATGCATTAAATCTAATTCTCCTTTATCGAAAAGCAGCAAAGAAATCACACAGACTACATCACTGTAATTTTAGTAAGCAAACATTGAGTAACCAAGTGTCTCTAGATGTGTTTGTCATGTTATAAGATGCAATTTAAGTGTAAAACAATAATAAATTAGAGAATTCCCTTTTATTATCATTTACCTACATGTATTCATTTTCCACACCATTGTATTTTTTCACTTTTCACTTGGTTCTTATTAAAATAATCTCATCTTTGCATCTCCAACACTGGCAGTGTCACTGCTGATGTCTATTGGTGCATACAGACACAACAGTATCTTCACACACAATATACAAAATAAGCTTTTACTGAGATCTGGGTATCCAAGCTAATTTATTTCTTAAAATTTTAAAGATTTAAATATTCTTTTTGAATATGGGCATTATGTATAATTTATTTTATAGACCAGTGCTAAAGCCTAATCCCTGAGTTGTGAGCATGTGCAAAGCTGTGCATTATTAACAGGATTTACATTGTTGTGTATGTTGTTGACCTGGAACTCTCTTCCAATCATCTAGGAAAGATGCTACTGTACCTGCAAAGAACTTTCAAACAATGTGCAAGAAGAATCAATCACAGTTACTTTGCAGATAATTTTGTTAAAGAGATTACAAAGCTGTTTTCCACCTGAAGTACAGTATGTGAGCATCAGCCATGACTATGAAAGTGATATTTTTACATATTTCCCAATACTTTAATTGAAGGTTTCACTAAGAGAAAGGGATGAAAACAGAAACACATTCTGACAACAGAATATTTATTGTTATTTAAAATCACTCCTGCCAATTTTCTAGTGATTAAGTAATGCTAGTAGACCAATGTAATTCCAAATTCCAACTGGATAGTTCTATCTATGGTTCTTATTGATATTGTAGAGATCACATATGAATTGTATTTACTAGTTTCAAATTATTAAAAGTGATACTTACACATATTGTTTTTTAGGCTTTAAAGGACCATTGCAAAGTTTATTGTCTTTCTCCATAGACAAACAGTTATCTTCAGCCCCAATAACATAAGTGTCCACCCCGGTAAACAGTCTTGTGTTTTCAGAGCACAAAGGGTTTCCAAAGCCTTCACTGGTGAAATATGGTTTCGGTTTATTGAAAAAGGCCTCTTTCCAAGTGGTTACATTGTTATCATCACTTACTAAAGGACAAAAAAATAAAGACAACAACTAAACGTAAGAGTATTAAAAAATAAAGTTTGATTTTATATGCCATATTAATACAATATTTCAGTAAGTACAAGCTATTTTCGACATAAAAAAATAAATCCAATTTCAGACACCAAAAACATTTTATATGATTCCAAAACTCTTCTAAATCATAAAAAAGATAAAAAGATAAAAAAACAAAATGGCTTTTATTCCAAGGATTAATTTTGGTGTTAAAGAATGGAAATTATAGTGATTGCGCTTAAATTACGTTTGTATGTTTTCCTTAGATTTTGAATCTTAGATTACAGTACATTATTTTCCTTTTGCAACCACTGACATACAGATTTTTCAATGAACTGTAAACCAACTCAACCGTTGTAACACTCATACTAGTACAGGAGAGATGAGGACTGTACTTGCTTTCCTGTGAACAAATGTACCATGAGAGTCATGGTCTTCATATTCACACCGCATGTCCTTCAATGCCTACAGCAGAGTTAGCACTGACTGTAGAACTGTATCTCTCGCCAATCAGCGAGGAAAAATAATTGTGTTGAAAACAATTATGCCTGTTCTTAGTTTGATCTGGCATAAAAAGATGCATTGAAAAATACAAGCTATAATTAATAATTATATAAACAGTATCATATTATGAACCACACTGTTACATTGCTAGGATATACACATCATACCTGAAGCTTCTGCAACAATAACCTGTACTTTCTCAATTGGTCCATGATGATCAGTAAAGAAACAGACAGGCATCCTGATTGTAATTGTTCTTGATGTAGCAATGACACTTCCACCTCTGTCAAGGGCCGGCACTGGCTTTCTGCTGGGTACAGGTGGTGCTAGAATATAGAATTTACTGTTCTAAAATCTGCAACTGTTCTTCAAGATACTACATTTCTGGAAAAATGTTTCAAATTTTGTGCGTATTCTACATACTATGCTAACAACAGATTTTTAAAACAACATGGAAACATTTTTTGTTTTTCAAGGATTTCTTCTGAAGAGAAAAAATGCTCTTGATTCGGTGGAAGTATTTTTTAAACGTTTCAAGGTGCAGATCCACCTGATTACTTATCACTTACATATTCTTTTTGCATTCTGTCTCAATTTTATTTGAATAGGGAAAAAGTGGAGCATATTTTGCACTGGAGCAAAAGCCCGTAAATGTTCTTTCTTTCCCTTCGGTTTTACACAATGCCATTAGACATCATTGTTTCCTATTGAATTCCAACTGTTGTGTTATGTTAATGTTAAAATTATTTTTTCCATCCTAAGGTACACTGGCTAGATTAATGAGAGGCTTAAATGAATGGTAATGGATTGTAAAAGCTGGTTGCTATTGGTTCCAATGCAATATTTTTTGCATTTTAATGCATCTCAGTGCATACAGTATCATGAATGTGTGTTGGTTTACAAGAAAATCCTACCCAAGGTATCCATGGTAATTTTTACTTCCGCACTGGGACCTGGACCAGCTCCATTGACAGCAGAGATCTAGGTAAAAAAATAATTTTGTTATAAATATATGATATATTTAGAGAGTTTAGTATCAATAAACTTCTTTTACAGCATAATTGGCTAATTTACCGCAGCTGTCACTGGTCAACATAGACGATTTGAAAAAAGTCACCAATCAATAACAATAACATCAAATTAGTACAGCAGAGGCAAAAAAGGGCAAGATACGTCCTAAAATCAATATTAGTTGTAAGATAAGGATTTTATAACAAGTTTAGGAAGAGGGTTATACTTCTGCTCACCTACGTACAGTATATAATTCTCGTACCCAGGACTTCCCTTTACATGCATCCCCATCTCCAACCTAGCAGCAATTCCCTTGCTCACTCCCCACAGTAGTGAAGGGAAGTTTGGACAGTCACTCCAAATATTCTCTACGCATTTCGTCCTTCTATCGCATTCATTATGATCGTACTACTGAACCATCTGCTGTGCATGTCACGGGGGACCATGATACAACATTTCAAGCAATATGCAGTTGACTCACGGCAACATGGTCAAACCCTGTGAAGACCAATGAATGCACTCAATCAAGCTTAAGCAGCATTTCTTAGGAGAACCAGAGCATCTGGAGGAGACCCATGTGGATACAGGGAAGACTTGAAGACTCCACACAGTCCAGAATTGCACCCAAGATCCAAGAGCTGTGTGGTAACGGTGATAACCAGCTAGCAATGAAATTCTATCTGATATTAAAGGTCAAATTCTATTTTTTTTAAATTTAATTTGGAATTCAGCTCCATAAATACATCAAGTTGAAAAAAGTCTGAATAAAACTAAAATACACATTTACAATTTACAGCACTACTGTTTATGTCCTAATGTGCTATTAAATAAAGTAATCAAGACCTGAGTTATATGTTTTGCTTCTCTAAATTTGCAGTTTATTGCAAAAAAACAAAAAAAGAATAAAAAACATAACCTGCAAAGAAAAAGGGAACAACTAAACAAGGATAAAAATGTTGGTCACTTTCCACTTCTGTGCAGAAGAAGAGTAAAACATACAGTAATACAATAAAAGGTAATATACTAGAAAAAAAAAGGAAATATAATACAGGAATTATTATTTTCATTTCATGGACTGGAATTTGTGTCTTTGATCTTGACACAAAAGCAATCCCATTTCTTTCCAATAAAATAAGATATGAAAAATTACCTCTAACAAAAATATCAAGATAAAACCTTGACTTTAATACTTAAAGCTTGACTTTTGCATAAAATAGTGTTTGAGTGCCATGTTAAAAATGTCCCTACTTAATTTGATGTATTTGATGAAAAACAGTAAAAATGCAATAATTAGAGGTTAAAGTTGTTTGCACTACAAATCACTCAATTGTCACCAAAACACAATTGTTAAAGTATGTGGATTTACTTATACTCACTCTGATGCTGTAGGTGTGTCCCCCTTTTAATCCCTCTATGACAGCTGTCAAAGTATGGTTTTCATTTTCAGTTATTGGGAGACTTTTTATTTCAAAGTCAAGGGTACCTCCTCTGAAAACTTTAGCCCAGTATGCACTAATATTTCCATTTGGTTCAACAGGGGGTGAAAATGTTACATAAACTCTGGTTACATTGTTCGGTATTGTTTGAAAAGTCACATTTTTAGGTGGGTCCTTAGGTTCTGAGAAGAAAACACGCAAAGGATGAATGTAAAAAAAAATACTGTAAATTTTCAACACTAACACACTCTTAAAAATGTACAGTATCACTCCTATGTCCCCCAACTCAAGATTTTTCTTCTGAAATGTTTACTGTTATTTTATAACTGCTTGTTGTGAGAATCATACAATTTTTCTTACCCAGTAAAGTATTTTCAGTTTCCCTAAATTTTCCTTTGTATTATTTGGTCATATGGACACAATCAGTCAATATATCAGACAGATTTGAGAACAATAAGCAATCTAAATACCAGCTATCAAAAAAGTATTAATTCAGATTTGCACATTGACCATCCTACACAAAGGCAGATGGTGAAAAGTTCTTGGAAAGCAGAGCTAGCAAGGGGTAGTTATTTTAAAATACAAACTTGTAATAACATTTAATGAACATAGCAGATTAAAGTAAAATAAAATAAAAACGAAAACCTACAAATATAGGAGAGATAATTGTATACTTTTACTCAATTGAGATCTGGAATTCACCTTTAAATTTCAAAAACTAATTTAAAAGTCTTTGTGTTAATCATTTCCTGGTAAAAAAAACTTTTCACAAAAGTGAAAAAGTGAAAAATAATTCAGATGTGATCTGTTGGAGCAAACGTTGTGATTACAAATTTTCAAAACTGGGGCTTCATATTTGAAGCAAAACAGAAAGAGTGTTACTGATTAAAGGGGGACTTACCATCTTCAAGTGTTCTGACATATATAGGTTTACTGGCTTTTCCATGTACCCTTGCATCCTTCACATCTCCAGTAAAGGCTGTTACTATTACAGAGTACCTTGTAAATGCTGTCAGATTTGATACCACAACATTCTTCGTTTCTTCATTTCTCCTCACCAAGGTGTAATTGAAAACATCAGAGTCTACCTATAGCAGTAAAAAACAAACTGATCAAGTATGAAACACCTTTTTACGTTGTTGATTCACAATTGAAAGCACTCAGACCAAAATCAGAAAATCTGTTGAATCGTGAGATTGAAACCTGGAGTCTAAAATGAATTTACTTCTCCTTTTATTAAATGTGATGAACAAAACAACAAAGACAAAAATGAAAAAAAGCTTATATCTTAAAGAGTTTATATCTTAAATCTGTTTTGGAAATTGATAAAGTCAACAAATACTGTATGTTGAATTTCTACAATAGATTGTGACTAAGTGGCATTGAAATTTGGTCAATA